AGTCCCACGGCTGTCTGAGGAGTACTAAGAATACAAGGTGGAGCTGTCATTTCTTTTTTTTAATTTTAAAAGAACATCTGACTTGGTAGTACAAAATACAGCTTTAAAGGTTTCCTTTAAACCAAGTGTCATCCATATATATTTATATTTATATATGGTAATATCATGCTAGTCTATGACCTTTTTTGTGTACAGAGTCCCTTTGGCAGTCTGGTGAAGCCTCTGGACCCCTTCTCAGAATGTTTTTAAATGCATAAAATAAAATAAGAATTACAAAAGAAACCAACTATTTTGAAATACAGTAATCGAAGTATTGTGTTTTAAATTCCAAACAAGTTCGTGGACCCCAAGTTAAGAACCCCTGGTTCTACAGACAAGCCCAATCCACTGATTATAAATATCCAGGGAGACATAAAACAAGGAGATGTGGTCACCTAAAGTGCTCACCAGGGTAGAGGATGTCCTGTGAAAAGTCCAACAGAAGAGCAACATCCCCTCTCTATGGGGATGTTATCTGGATGCTTCCATACATGGATAACATTATGCTGACTGCGCAGCATCCCAGAACACTACAGGACCTCCTCAACGGTATCCATGGTCATTCAAATGACATCAGTATAGTGATCCATACTGGGAAAAACAAGTGAATGAAAAATACTGATCACCATGATAATGATGAGAAGTTAGCCAGGCAGCATATTGAGGCAGTACATCAGTGTGTGTGTGTGTGTGTGTGTGTGTGTGTGTGTGTGTGTGTGTGTGTTTATTTTTATACAGGGTGCTCTAAAAGCCTTACTAGTTTAAAACTGCTCTATGACTTTTAGGATACCCCGTATATGTATATCTGTATTTCCATATGCTATATACACATTTATATATACAATAAACACCTATCTATAGCTGTGCAATATATACACATCTATAATGCAACATGCACATATATATCTACATACTAAACATATACATATCTACATATGCAATATAAATATATGTATATCCATATATGCAATATATACAGCTAACATACTGGCAACATACACACACCTATAGATTTAACATAGATGTATATCTAGATATATATTTTTACCTATATAGATATGAATGATATATGTGCATGTCTGTCTATATATGCATACCTGTATCTGTATCTACCTATACATACACAGAGATATCTACATGTTACTTATGTAATATACATTAATATACATCATACATATACATTAATGTAGATTTATGTGTATGTATACCTACATGTATAGGTATATCCATATGCATAGAATACAGTTATATCTGTGTGTGTGTGTGTGTGTGTATATATATATATATATATACACACACACACACACACACACACACAGATGTCTCTCTGCCTATGTTTAAATAAAGCTATATTATTTGTGAATATATAGATGTGTGTATGTCTACGTATATATGCCTATATGTATGTATATTATTTTGTGTACATACCTTTATGTCATATATATTTATATATGTAGGCTTTTATATGTATGTATCTCTATACATATCAATACACATATATCTATACAAGTATGTGCAGAGATGTATATCTCTATATGCACATATACGCATACACACATATGCATACATACCACATACACACATACATTTGATATTCATTACAGATGAGCAATCAGCCAGAGCTGACTATAAGGACATAGGGACGAATTATACTTGGGAAACTGCATATTCCATGAAGCCAAGTGCCTAGCTCTAGGAAAAATCCACCTTTTTCATACCAGTCTTTTTTTTAACTGATGTGAGTCTGCTCTCTGCCTTTGGTCACAGCTTTTCTCTCCAAACTCAAAAGAGACTCTTCATCTTCCTCCAGTCCCTTCTATGTAAATCCCTTAATGTCTGGTTTATGATCCTCCTCAAAAAAAGTACTGACTGTGGGACCCTGGGGAAGTAACTCAATGTCTCTCAGACCCAGGTTCCCCATCTGTAAAACAGGAGTGATAGCAGTACCCACCTCACAAGATTGCTATGAGGAACAAACAAGACAAAATAGGTGAAGTTTGCATATTTTTTTGCATATATATTTGCAAACCTTTAAGCCCTAGAAAGGGTGTCCCCAAAAGTCTTAGTGAAGTTTTAAGGTATCAGAGTTTAAAACTGCATCAAGACTTCTGGGACTCACTGTATAAATGTTAGTTATTATTGCCAGTGCTTAGCCTCATCCACTGCACATAATAGATGATTCAAAATGTTTCTTGAATTGATTTCAGAATCAAAACTTCATGAGATTCACTAATGATGGATAAAAGTAAGCTTGAAACATATGACCAATAATATGGTAATATTCCCTTCTTTCTTCCCTTTAGAAATGGCTCAACAGACATTAATCAAGGGCCTTCAGGTTTGTGATCTTAGGCAAGTCACTTAACTTCTCTCAGCCTCACTTTTGTCATCTGTAAAATGGAGATAACAATAGCACCTACCTCACCGGGTTGTGACCACCAACTGAAATAACATTATTACAGGGGAAATTTTAATAAAAATTAATACAAGGAAATAAAAATCATAACAACATATACTAACAAATATCCTGTGATCAGAATAGTACTTGGGAAGATTAATCAGGCAACACCAAGAAGAAATGGATTGCAGAAAGGGATAAAAGGGATTTGCTGGGAGGTTATTACTAGCCTATAAGAAGATATAGATGTCTTGAACTACATTGGTTGTAGTGGGAATGGTGAAAAGATCAATTAGAAGTTTAGGAAACAGAATCATAGAGCTGGAAGGGACCTTACAAGGCGAGTTCAACTCCATTTTGCAGATAAGGAAATGGGTCCAGAAGAGCTAAGTGACTTATCCCAGGTTACATAGTAATATGGCCAAAATTTGAAACCAACCCTTCTGATCCCACAATGTTCTTTCTCCTTTGTCTCCTCCATCTGGTTACCTTCATCGACACTACTGGCTTTTTCATCAGGCACTTAGAAATACAGGACTGAGCTGCCAGGCAGAAGCTGGATAAAAAGCTAGATTTGGGAGTCATCCACACAGAAGTGATAACTGAAGTCACAAGGATGGATGAGATCAGTGTTGAGAGAAGAGAAGTGAGACAAGAACAGATGCCCCGGGAGGGCAACCACTGAAAAAGGGCAAGAGGAGCGTACTAAGTGATCTCCTAAAACTCTCTTTCAACTCTGAATCCTACGGCCCTATAACCAAGAAACAAGAGAAGAAACAAAAATGGTCACAGACCAAGGAAGAGGACTACCAGAGTTCGGAGTCACAGAAGCCTCAGGAAAAGAGGCGTCAAGAGGGCTGGTACATCAAAAAGATTGAGGGAGGTCTGGTAGACCAAAATGACTGAGGGAAGTAAGGAATTCTCCAAGATCAGAGAAAAAAAGACCATTGGATTTGGCAACAAGGAAGTTGTGAATGCCCTCAGATAGACCTGTTTCAGTTAGTCATGGAGAGAGAAGCCATATTATAAAAGATTAGGGAGTGCCTACCAGTGACGACAGCAAATGTAGACTACCCTTTCTACAAATCCTGGTCCCTAATTCAATTCTCTCTCCACTGCTACAGTCTAAAGCCAAATGCAAATTGTTTTGATTATTATTTACATTTTTACCTTATTCATAGACTGCTGCCACTGACCCAAAGGATCTCAAGTTGATGTAAATTTTTATTAGAGGAATAAGGAAGCATTTTTCTATGAAGGTCACTAACATTCAGGAGAGGATATCAAATAAGAATCCTATAAATAAAAAGTAGTTTAGCTTTTTTTCTGCTTTGAGATACATCCCACCCTCTGCTTTTAAAATTAAGACAAAGGAACATAAAGCTATTGGGTAAATGTAACAAATAATTAAAAACTTGTTTCAGTTCTATAAAATAGCTAAGAATTAAAGGGTAGTGGGCAGAGTTAAATAATGGAGTGCTAGGCTTGTAGGAAGCAAGATGTGGCTTCAATTTTGTTTCTAACAAGCTGTGTGACCCTACACAAGTCACTTGACTTCAGCCTGTTGGCTTCTGGAAGCTTCCTAGGGTTTATTTACTAAATCCAGCCTCAGACTCCTAAATTACTTAAACTCTCCCAGGCTCAGGCAGCTGTCAAGACTCAATTACAGATCATCAATAAAGCATTTACTGAGCTCCTTCTGTGCTAGGCACTGAGTAAAAGTACTGAGAAGTTGCGCATGTCCATTAACAGGAATTGCTATGCCCAGGAACTCTCCATGGGGATGAAATCTAGTCCAAAATGATATTCCTAAACCACAAGCCATATCCCTAAACCATCAATCAACTCTAGGGTCTCCCTATTACCTCTAGGTCCAAATATAAACTGCTCAGTTGGGCATTTAAAGCACATTTATTAAAGGGTCACAGCATTACCATCATATTATCATATAATTTTGTCCTCACAACCCTGGGAGGCAGATGCTATTATTACCCCCATTTTCCAGATGAAGAAACTAGGACTGGCAGAGATTAAGTGATTTACCAGCATCACACAGCTAGTAGGTGTCTGAGACTGGATTTGAACTCAAGTCTTCCTGACTCCACGTCCAGTATCCCATCCAAGGTGCTGGTGGCACAGTAGAGTACTGGGCTTGGAGTCAGGAAGCAGGAGATGGTCGAACCTCGCAGGGTTGTTGTGAGGATTAAATGATATTTGTAAAATAAAAAATTGCTTAGCAGTGTGCACGGCACACAGTAGGCGCTATAGAAACGCTCATTCCCAGCTACACGCAACATCTTAGTTTTCAGTAAGAACTCTTCATGCATCTGTAAGCCATGAAGTTTTATTGCGGGCTCTCGTGCATACTTCTTACTTATCCGAGATCTCCCGCTCGTTGGTATGGTGACTTCCTCCACCTGAGCAGGAGCAGACTGGGATTATGAGCCGATCCACCTGACTGAATTCCAGTGCCAAAGGGAACTGAAAGGTCAGCCCAGAGCAAAACACCGCCTCTCACTGTCTCACTGCCTCTCACCCTGTACCTGGGCGGACAGCCGCCTACCTGGCCCGGCCGGAGCTTGTCCCGCTCTCCTGGCCAACAACTCAGCTCGCGTCGACCCCCGGGGCTCGGGGCGCAAATCGGCTTTTAACCAGTCCGTCCCACACCCCCAACCGCTAACCAAGGTCTGGGCAGGCGTGGCAGAGTCCCACAGGGTCACCTGCTCCGCGGGGCCAGCGGAGGGGCTCTGCGGATCCCGGACAGGCTCGCCTCTGCCTTTGTCCTTGCCTTCGCCCTTGCCTGCGGCCCCCAGCCCCGCGCGCGGTCCGGGGTGCGCTCAAGCGCTCCTTCCCAAGAGCCGGACTCCGTGTCCTCAGCGCTGAAAGAGGCTGCGCGCGTGTCCTCGGCTCCCACTCGCCCGGGCAGGACGCGGGACAGGTACTGACCTGGCTCGCGTGAGCAGTTCGCTGACCGGATCGAGTGCGTCCGCCGAGCTCAGGGCGGCCGGCTCCTCGGAGCAGCGGGAGAGGAGCACCTCAGCGCAGCGCCATAGGGCTCTGGGACAGCGGGCCACTGCTCCTCCCACGTGACGGAGGCGGGGACCAGCTCGGGAGGGGGGCGGGGGGCGGGGAACGGGATGGCCGGCCCAGAAGCTCGGGCTGCCCCCTCCCGCGCGCTCTCGCCGCCCAAGCGTCCTTGGCCTCCCGGGCTTGCCTGCCAGTGACCCGGCCCAGGTCTCCCCCTCCCTCGCTCTCGGCACTCCGGCTCCCATCTATGAATTCGTCCATCTATCAGTCCCTCCCCAACTTGTCCTCCACTGCCGAGCCCTCGGCGACAGATACGACGTCTCCAACTTTCCCACCCTGGAGCAGCTGGCAGCGGGCTGGCCTCGACCGCGCTCTGGGGATCTGGAGGGGGTAGCTGGCCTGGTGCTGGCCGGACTACCGGCCAGGGATGAAGCTCCCCTTCTTTGGGAACTCCCCAGGTCTGACAGTCCTCCGAGGAAAAGCAAAACCACTTTTCCAATCGTCTCTCTCTAGTAGTGCACTCTCCCATCCTCCTGGATAGGCTGTTCCCATTATCTGCCCGCAAACATGAACGAAGAGGTTTTGAACCGGGGGGGTGGGGGGGGTGTGTGTGTGTGTGTGTGTGTGTGTGTGTGTGTGTGTGTGTGTGTGTGTGTGTCCGTGTGTCCGTTACAGCAGAACTGAAGCTCAGCGAGGTCAAAGTTGACCAAGGTCACCTAGGTAGTGAGTGGCAGCTCTGGTCCTCATGACCCCTCTCCTCTGACTCCAAATCCAGCGCCGGCTTCCGGGCCAGTTAACTCTTCGTCCTCACTCTTTCTTCCCTAAAATTAATAAAATGCAAATATCCAGTAATTTTCTAAGAAAATTTTCAGGAGTCAAAAGTGACTGAAAAACCTCTAACTAAAGGGAAATGCTTAACCTTGTGACTCGATTCATTAATTTCACCCTCAATTTTAAATGTCTCTAAACCCTGCCAGGTGGTAGGACTTCAAATGGACCTTTCCTAAAAACTAGGATGATCTGAAATGCTTTATAGTAAAGTGTTTTATAGACTTTATATAGTTAAGTGATTCCTAATGAGACCACTGGCCTTAACAGCTTCTGCCTAGATTATAATCCATTCTTACCTTCACACCGTTAGTGGCTGGGAACGCTAGGAAAAAGGGTTTCTGGCTCCATCTGGAGGTTAATGCATTCAACAGTCCAAGTGTCTACTCTAGGCAAGCAAGTCAAGTATTTATTATGTACTTATTATCCACAGGGCACTGTTCCAGGATACCTGAGGGGACAAAGAAAACTTACTAAGCCTTGCCTTCATTCTGGATCAGGATCATTAATTATCATTGTTGTTCACTTAAGTCTGCCTCTTTATGACCCCACTTGGGGTTTTCTTGGCTTGCCATTTCCTTCTCCAGCTCATTTTACACATGAGGAAACTGAGGTAAACAGGGTGAAGTGACTTGCCCAGGATCACACAACTAGTAAGTGTCTGAGGCCAGATTTGAACTTGACTCCAGGCCCTTTGCTCTATCCTCTTCACCATCTAGCTGCCCCATTAATTATCAATGTGATTCAAATAGCAGTTCTTTCAGGGACTTCTTACAGGTGTCTCCAGGCCTACAACTGGGAGCCCCAGGAGAACTCTAGTCATCAAATATTTAATGGGTGCTTACTATGTGCTCAGCACTGCGCTAAGTGCCAAAGCTACAAAGAAAAGTAAGAACAGTCTCTGCCTTCAAAAAGTTTATATTTTAATGGAATAGAGATACTGGAATAGTAAATAACTAGATTCATACAAGGTATAAACAGATTAAGTGGAAGGCAATTTGTTCGAGGAATTCACTCGTTACCAAAGCCCCTGGAGGTACCTTCTAGGCAGTATTTTAAGTGAAGGATGGGAAAAAAAAAGATCCCAATGATATAATCTTTTAAGATTAACAAATAGCTTTCCTCAACAATAATCCCAGGAGAAAGGTAGCATCAGCATTATTTCTATTTAAGAGAGAACCAACTGAAAAAAGAAAAAAGAGATAACTCATAAAGCACATAAACATTTTAAGGCCTGTAAAGTGTTTTGCAAAAAGGATTTGAATCTCACAACAACCCCTATGATCAGCACTACTGATACTAGTATCTCCATTTTCTATATAAGGAAAATGGACCCAGATGAGGCCAAACATTTATTAAGCACTTACTATGTGCCAGGCATTGTGCTAAGTATTGAGGATACAACTACAGGGAAGCAAGATTCATATTCTCTCTCTCTCTCTCTCTCTCTCTCTCTCTCTCTCTCTCTCTCTGTGTGTCTCTCTCTTTTCTCCCCTCTCTCTCTTCTCTCTCTCTCTCCACTCTTAAGCAGATTACATTCATAGGGGAATACAAAACACAAAGAAGTGGATGATGAAATTGTTGAGAGTGAGTTGAGCTGGGAAGAAGTGAGCCTGACTTGGGCTGGAGAATCACCCATCGGGAGAGCAGCCTCCAGGTCAGACCCATCTCTAGGAAGACAAGGCTGCTGGTAAGGAGTTGGAGCAGTCCACAGAGTCAGCCAAGTTGGGAGATGTAACGTGACTTGTCCATCATCACACATTCCCTATGGGAAGGAGAGTTCCCTGTTTCCTTTGTCCTGAGGAACTAACTCTTCATGCCATACCATTTTGGGGGCCCAGGCAGCAGAGAGGGATGCAAAATGTGGCATGGGGTTTCCCATCTGGCATGTGAACCAGCAGCAGCAGACCTTGGGAGTTGCTCTCCCTAATTGCTGACCACAGAGGACCCTATCTCTATCTTCAGTAATAGATGGTGCCAGTGCTGAAAACTATACAGGGAGGTGAGCCAGGTCCACAGAGCAAGATAATAATATTAGACACCAGTATGCAGAGGCGAGATGGGCTAGGTAGCTGGGATCTGGAAGCCTTTGAAATCCTTATCCATTGGTGTGAGAGGGTGATAGCTTTTCATTCCCTTCCTTTCTCCCCTGATTTTTCTTGATAAAGTCTGGACTTGAGGCTGGGTCTACATACACACACATGCACACATGCATACATACCCACATAAATACATATACATCCCTCTTTCTTGTCCTATTTCAGTTACCTATGGATCTGGGGATCGAGTTAGGCATATGCTCCGGACAGAAGCTCTTTGTCTCTTCCTTTACCACTTTCTTCTGTACTCAATACATTATGTGACCATTAATAAATTGAGTGACTGTATTCTGTGAACATGGTGCAGTGATCCTCCTGAGTTCAAATCAAGCCTCAGAACCTTCTTAGTTATGTGACCCTGGACAAGTAATTTCACTCTGTTTGCCTCAGTTTCCTCATCTGCAAAAAAACCTGGAGAAAGAAATGACAAAGCAGTCCAGTACCTTTGCCAAGAAAACCCCAAATGGGGTTATGCAGAATGAGGCACCTGAACAGCAACGAACTTCTGTGAATGTCTGTGTGTGTGTTGTCCTGGATGAAATGAAGTCCAGATTCAGGGTGAAGTGGTACCATTGGTTTTTAAATTATGATCCGTAGTCCATCATGCCAAATCTATATTCAGAACCCAACCAAAGTGGATTTTAACAGAGAGGAAGCTCAGTGGTGCAGTATAGAGTATTGATCCTGGAGTTAGAAAACCTGAATTCAATCCTAAGGGTGGTGGTGGTGGATGGGGGGCAGCAAGTTACAACCTCTGCCTCAGTTTCCACACCTGTAAAATCATGATAATATTAGTACCTACCTTCCAGGATTGTTGTGAGGATAAAAATGAAATCATATTTGTAAAGATCTTCACAAATCTTAAAGCGTTTTATAAATGCTAGCTATCATCATCATTATCCTTATTAACTGTCTAGTGGCTTAGTCGGTGTCTTGGTGGTATGGCCGTGCTGCTTGGCTGGTGGCTTGAATATAGCACCACCTAGTGGTCAGTTCAAATATCTCAACCCTTTGCGGGGTAATTAATACAATGAAACTACCTTTCTCTCTAGGTTTAAGAAAGACAGCATCCAAGTTTCTGTGAGCCTCTGCTACTGCTACCACAATGCCCTTTTTTTGGTTTTTAAAAGGCAATCCGGATTAAGTGACTTGCCCAGAATCTCATAGAAAGTGAATGTCTGAGGCCAGGTTTGAATTCAGGTCCTCATGACTCTAGGGTAGTTATGCCATCCACCTCACCACCTAGCTGCCCCTACCACAGTGCTTTTAAGAGGTAAAGGAATCTAACAAGTGCTCATGCTAGCCACAGGTGCCAAATAAGTATCAAAAACAAGATTTGAACTCAGGTCAGCTTGACTTCTGGTCCAAGGCTGCCTTACTGATTAAGGAAATTGAGTGACTTCTTGATTGTCTAATGAGTAACAGAGCCAGAATTTGAACCCTGGACTTCTGTTTACAAATCTCTGCTCTCTCCACAGCAGACCTCTGATGGCTGACTGCCTTTTATCCCTGTGAACTCAAGGCCTTCAGCAAGAAAAAAAAAGGTTGTGACTTAGTTTCATTAGACTTGTTGCATTTCTCTCTTAGCTTTCTGTTTCATTTCCTTATACCAAAAACCACCAAAAAGCAGCATGGAGGTCACTTCTGCTTGGGTCATCTGAGTTTATCCGAATGTCCCCAGGTTCCTACTATTGTAATGAAGAGGAAAAGACTGGGGTGCTAGAGCTGCCAACGAGAGCACAGCTAAGGAAGACAATAGATATAGAATGATCAGCTTTCTCCTCTGCGGTGAGATGCTGTGGGTCATAGAAAGCTTATCCAAAATGGAGTCTAAACAGCTATTGTCCTACATTGGGTTCGTTGAGAGACGAGAGATTAGGTTTTTCATTTAAAAACAAGTGAGTTTTCGAGATAGAAAGATGTTCAGTGGACTCAAGATGCTACCTCCAGATGA